GGGAAACCGAAACCACTATCTCCACAAGGCAGTTAATGTATGACTAACCCCATTAAACATTCTTCTTCTTCTATTTACCATCACTTTCTTATGTATGACTAACATCTGTTTGGTGGTGCAGGAGGAGAAACTGAAGCGGCCGCTCTCACACATGCAGGCGTGGGAGATCGCCCATACGCGGAAGGACCCCAAGCCTGGCGAGCCCAAGTACTACGACAAGAAGACCGCGTGGAGGAAGGAGGCCTACTCCCCGGCGTATCTGAAGTTACATCCTGACACACCTGACCCCATTGCGGCGGATCTGGACGACAGGGCGGTGGTGAGCATGGGGCCCAAGGAGCACGGTCGGGAGGCGGTTCTCGATGATGTGGTCACTCCGACTATCTCCTACACACAGCTCCGTCGGATCGACCCGAGCCTGAGCCAGCGCACGAGCCAGCCAGTGTCCAGTTCACAGTCCCTCTTTCAGGAGCAACAAGCTGTAAGTATTTTCCCTCTTATCTTCATTGCTCACTTTATTTTCCGCATCTAGTAGTTTTATGAGTTCCATCATGTCATACCGTAGGCCTACCTGGAGTACACACGCCAGGAGACCATGGCGTGGCATCAGAGGCTTCATGAACACCAAGTGCAGAGGGATCGCCAGCTAGAGCAGGCTTTTCAGGAAATGGTGGTCGGCAGGTGTCCTCAGTTGCAGCCAGCACAATGCCCTCCAGCACAACCAGTGCTGCTGACCTTTGAGGAGTTTGTGGCACAGAACGCTGGCCCCTTGCCGGTTAGTTCATCCCCAATCTATTCACCCAAAGCATGTCATGCCTTTCAACATAGTCATATATCCCATTAATATGTCTTTTCAACATCCAGGGAACAGGTGGATCTACCGTTGGTGGTGGTCTTCGCAGCACTCCGGAGACACGGAGCCCGACCACTCCGATCCACGGAGGCGGAGGCGGAGGTGGAGGTTGTCTTGGCGGTAGCACTGGCGAAAGCACTGACGACCTGGGCTTCGGCGCTCTTGGCGGTGACGACCTCCGTGGTGCTCGACGTCCTGGCGCTTAAGCCTTTGGGTCACATTGTGGCGGTTCTCGATGTTGTGATACTTATATGCTTGTGATGTTTCTTATCTTATTGTTGTTTGTGAGATTCTTATATGCTTGGTGGTGATGATACTTATATGTTTATGCTTTGCGATGTTTCTTATGATGTGTGATGCTGCTCCTTACTGTTACGTGATGTTGCTTCTTATATATGCTGCTTCTTATATATGTTGTCTATATTCAAATGAATTGAGCTGAAAAGAAACAAAAAAAAGAAAAAAAAACTGGACAGAAACTATGCCGACGGCCTAGCCGTTGGCATAGGCCTGCCGTGAGCTCCCAGTGGCTGACACGTGGCCGTCTATGCCGACGGCCTGGCCGTCGGCTTAGTTCTGCCCCAGGAGTGCCCAGTTGCGACACGTGGCACGTCTATGCCGACGGCCTAGCCATCGGCATAGTTCTAAACTAAGCCGACGGCTAGGCCGTCGGCATAGGCAAGCCCCAGGAGCGACGGCGACTCGCCACGTGGCACCTCTATGCCGACGGCCTGGCCGTCGGCGTAGTTTAGTACTATGCCGACGGCCAGGCCGTCGGCATAGAGGTGCCACGTGGCGAGTCGCCGTTGGTCAGCAGTTGACGGCAGCCGCCGTTAGGCGATGGCGTTGCCGACGGCCAGGGCCGTCGGCATAGATGTACGGCCACCGTCGGGATAGGGTCTATGCCGACGGCCTTTCTATGCCGACGGTCATCCTGGCTACGCCGACGGATATGTTGCCGACGGCCCTATGCCGACGGGGGCCGTCGGCATAGGCCTGTCCCGATGGCTAGTCAGGGCTATGCCGACGGCCCTGGGTGCGATTCCGGTAGTGAATTAACCACTTATGCACAGGATACGTTTGGGTGGGTTTTCCTCTAGCACAGCGTGTATGTGGGACAAACCAACTTAGTGATAAACATTTGTATCTATTGAAGTATCTGCAGCTAGATGTTTTCGTTTAATCTAATTAACAAGAGAGGTTGGTTTCTCATCACATGACACGCTATTATTGCAGGGTTTAATCCGCTGGGTATGGTACTCATTTCATGTCTGCCTGGTTGTTGGCTGATCATTGCGAAGCACGATGACACATAAACCAAAGCAATTGCCTGTGTTTGACATGTTTACTCGAGTCTTGTGTCCCGTCCTTGTGATAGCATACCCAGATGCTACATGTTGAGCATGTATGTGTGCAACTTGAGCATTTTCATAATAGATTAGTCTCTCTGGCTACTCTTAATTTGCATGTTTATTTTCTTCCATGTAGTCTCTGTTGCTTGTTGCTGCTATTCTGCCATTAGTACATGTTGATGCTATTGTGTATTGTCATTGATAAAAATGGAAGTGTTTTTTGGACACCAACATGGACAAATCTGCTTACATTATCCGGACAGAATTTGAGCCGGACGGTCGGCGTGGAGTCTGACTCGTCCGAGTTCTGTTTGGCGAGGAGAGATTGATTGCTGCACCTTTTGTTTTTCACAAACAAGACCACAGTTTGCATTCAGTTTGCATACAGTCTGCATACAGTTACTTTGGTGGTGTCATTCATTCAGTCTGCATACAGTTTACAAGGAGGATTACAATTCCGTGTAGCTGTAGCACATCTGTCGTAATCTGAATCAAGGGACATAATGATCAGAATTATTGCAGCTAAATCTATGACTAGCTACAGTTCCCTGATTGATCACCAGCTGGGCTCAAGTTGCTATGGGCCCTTGAGACATCGGAAACCTGAACTGAACTGAAACTGTATCTTTGATGGTACACAAGTCTGTCAAATAGGCCTCTGCTGGTTTCCCAATGACCTGGCTTTGTCCTGGGAGATCTTTGCGAGAGGCAAGTTGTCCGTGGTGCATCTTTGACAGCAAAGTAGCTGCAAGCTTTAGACCTTGAGCTGAAGTGACTTGGAAACATATGACTGTAAACGTATAAGTTCGCATTACTGGTTGAGTTGTCCTGTTCCTTCCTTGCAGTGCAGCATCTGTGAGTGTCCTATGTATTGTAGGCATCTTGAATATGTCCATTGTTGATCCCTGCATCTGTAATGACACAATTTGTGCCTTGCCTTCGATAAACAATATGTCAGTATCCTGTTTACTGTACGCAGTTTAGCAATTCGTCTTGTAACTGTTGATGATGGCTTAGAGATGTGTGGGAAGTATGGCAACTCCTTCAAGTGAACATGGCAATCTTCCTAGAAAATTCTTTCTTTGTTTCTGAAATTTTTGCCATAAAAAACATGTGCCAATGACATGCTCCGCGACGAACGTTCGCTGGCTATTTAGGTCCTTGAACAATCGTCCTGGGTGTAGAGAGAGAATTTTTTTAAAAAAAAATTGCGTGGTAGATAATTTGATGCGTGAGGTCCGCTCTAAATTTCAACTCATTTTCTACAAGTGATGATGGCTCTCCTATGTGTTTCTTCTCCCACGAGGCTTAACTATGCTCAAAAATTTTAATTTTAATTCATAATTTAATAGGTCGAGACAACCTTCCAAAAATGATTGCTCATCTAAAAAAGATGGACTATATATAGTGAGACTCATTAAACTCTTTGAAAACAAATCTAGTGACAACAATTCCTGCCACGTAAACCTCGTACTGCCCAAGAATCAATTAGTGAAATGTTTTCTCGAGAAATAAATTCGCCTTGTGTTTTGAAGTGAAGTAAATTCGCCTTGTGTTTTGAAGTGAAATAAATTCGCCTTGTGTTTTGAAATGAATGGAGTATATGTTATTGTAAAACAAGTAGTAGAGGATTTTGCTTTATTTTTCTTGACGCGGTGAAGGAGACATCAAAATGGGAGCACGAGCAGGGTATACGTTTTCCTCCAGGAGCAACGGGAAACCAAACCCCCAAAGGAAAATCAATCCCCTCCCCCACTCCACTCCACCGCAATGGCGTCGTTGGCGCTGCCCTTCCCCGATGCCCCTCCGGCGCCGCCCTGCAGTTAGTGAATAATTGTTTTGGGGCAATTAAATATTTTATTAAACGTTGGATGCTATTTGTTGATTAGTTAGTGAATAATTGTAACATGTTGAACATTTTTAATTCATTGCTTTATGAAACTATAATTTGACTTGTCATTTGAATTTGTATTTGAACTAAGTTTGAAATAAGTGAGGTTAGGAAAATTTAATCATGATGATTTGACATCATTAACAGTGGTTTACTGTAGCTGAACTATCAGGGTGTCACAAATCTCCTCCACTACAAGAAATCTCGTCCCGAGATTTAAGAGGTGAAGTAAGCATGGAAGTTCTGGTTACGAAATTCTAGCAGATCTTTTCGTTTTGGGTTGCTCTTCGAAGAAGTCGATCCCTTGCGTTGATGGCTTCATTTCTCTTCTTCCGGTCATAATGATGAAGTCATCATCTTTTCCTCGGATCTTCATCGTACTTACGGAAAAGATAAAGGGGAAAAATCCCAGGAAAGGACGGAGCTCAACACATGTTAGGCACCTGGGGCTATCTCGGTGAATGAGGCATAGAGGAATTTCTCGAGTTGAAATTCAGAAAAACGTCGAGAGCAAAGTAAGAAGGTGCAAATAGAATGTTTCAAGCAGACAGGCAATTGTTCGTTGCCTGAAAACGGAGTGCGAGAGGGGTTTAGAGCAACGAAAATAATTATTGCGCTTAATACTAAAGTAGATTATCTCTAGGAAGGTGGCTCGTGAATATCATACGAAGCCAAGTGGGTGGAATAACTTTCGAATCTCATACGGAGAATATTTGTTTTTTACAGCCGAAAGAGTGTCGTATGATTTTTATATTATAAAACAAAGTAGAGAATTTTGCTTTGTTTTTCTTGACGTTGAAGGAGACGTTAAAATGGGTATACGTTTTCCTCCAGGAGAAACGGGAAACCAAACCCACAAAGGAAAATCAATCCGCTCCTCCGTTCCCCACTCCACTGCACCCCAATGGCGTCGCCGGCACCGCCCTTCACCGATGCTCGTCCGGCGCCGCCCTGCATCCCTGACGCCCCGGCGGCTCCGCCCTGCTGCCCCGACGCCTCGCCGGCCATGGAGGCGCAGGCGACCCTCCCGGACCACCTGACGGAGGACATCCTGCTGCGCCTCACCACGGCCGCCGACCTCGCCCGCGCCTCCATGGCCGGGCCCTCCCTCCGCCGCATCGTCGCCGAGCACTCCTTTCTCCGTCGTTTCCGCACCCTCCACCCGCCGCCTCTCCTGGGCGTACTCTCCGACCCCTTCCTCCCAGCCCAGCCGCCCCACCCCTCCGCCGCCGCCGCCCGAACCCTCGCCGGCACCGACTTCTCCTGCTCCTTCCTCCCCTCCCGCGACCAGCCCTGGATTCTCCACGACTTCCGCGATGGCCGCGCCCTCCTCTGCACCGCCACCGACCACCACTGCCTGGCGAGGGACGTCGCCGTGTGCGACCCGCTGCGCCGGCGCTACCTCCTGCTACCCCCCGTCCCCCGCCTGCCCGATCTGGTTTTTTGCCTGGATCCTTTCCTTGCTCCCGCCGGCGGGGACGAGGGCGTTGATGACACTGCTGCGGACGCTCCCTCAAGATTCAAATTCATGTGCTTGGCCCAGTACCAGACCCGCTTGGTCCTCTACGTCCACTCTTCGTCAGGTCCCCATGCCGGACAATGGCGCGCCGTCGCATTTGATGGCTGGACCGCTCTCCTCGCAGGAGTCAGTGTCCATGTGCTGTCCGCTGTTACGGTCGGAAAGCGCTACTACGCGCACGGGTGCTTCTGTTGGGCGGTATGTGCGATGGACAAGTTGCTCATGCTCGACACGGCCACCACGGAGTTCTCCACCGTCGACCTTCCGTCTGATCTCATGAATCACGAGCTGGCCTTTGTGGAAGCAAGCCAAGGGAGGCTTGGGATGTTCGCTCTCAGCCAAACTCCCACACACCGCGTGCCTCGCCTCCGGTATTCCATTTTGGTTAGCACTGGGGACGACGACCCAGGGCAGTGGCAAAAGAAAAAGGTGGTCAAATTGTCCCATGATCACCTCTATCGGATCATTGGTGTAGCTGGGGGGTACCTGCTCCTGTATGTGGTTACAGACGACCCGGAACCGTACCATCCGGATAAAGTGCCGGACCCGGGCTGCTGCTTTTCACTGAATCTTCACACTATGGATCTTGAGCGCTTCTCTCGGAATAGTGACATAATGCCATTGCAGGACCAACTGTATTCGGGCTTCCCGCCATACTTGTCTCCACCAACCATTTGAAACGGTAAGCTTGCTCCTAGTTTTTGCCTCTATTGTTCATATGCAGTATAGAGGGTCGACGTTGCTATATGATGCAAGTATTTGTTAGTTAGTTTGGTGGTACTGTGCTCTGTCATTCTGCTAATCTTAGCAAACAGTCCTAACTACAGAGGGGCTGTCCAGGTTATGTCCTGTCCATTGTATTGCTAATTTTTTTAAGTCAGTCTTACAGTGTTAGTATTGATCTTCTGAAGGCCCAAATGAATTTCCGTCACTATAATATATGAATCTATCCCGTTGAGTATCTGAAATTATATATTTTCGTTGCGTCTGATTAGCTAGAGTGGTTGGTTTCTGACCACATACTGTTATCATCATTGTAGGGCTTAATCTGCTGGGTAGAGGACCAATTGACTCCATTTGGATTGTTGGTGACTTGATCCATCTCATATCATATAAGGCAGTGCCAAGCCCGGTAATTGACGGAGTGCCTACCAGCAGCAGCAGCAGCAGCAGCAGCAGCCGTGATTAAGTTGCTTGGTTCCTCTTGATTTGGTGGACTGGATGGAACCATGTGTGTATATATGTATGCACATCGTGTTAACTTGTATGTCTCATTTCATCTTGACGCTCGGTAATGCACTACATTGTACTCATGGACCACATCAGGGAGAAGAAATCTTCATTCTTTCTCCTTTTTGCGGGCAAGGAGGCCTCTTCCTTCGCCTGCGCCTATTGCTATTGATAAGAATGCGAAGTTTATAGACTGGACCACATGAGTAACAAGTTGGAGTAAATGTTGATTCTGAAGAAATACAGAGCTTCTTTTTGCTACACGGACTAGTTGGTTTCCGATCACAAACCATCATTGGATTGCATATGGCACTTATTTTGCGCCCGGCGAGAAAAGATGGATGACACACACACACACACACACACACACACACACACACACTTGCCTGTTCTCCATGTGTCTTTGTTTCATTCGTGGCCTTATGTCTTCAAACAATCTCTTCTTGATATGTTGGATTTGATTAATTAGAGAAGGTCATGTTTGGGACTGCTCCACCCCACCAAAATCAGCTCCATCAAAATTGGTTTATGACACTAGTTATTTGCTCCTCTTGTTGTTTGCTGGACAAGGCTGCTATCTGGGAGCACATCTAGGTGAAGTGAAAAATTGTAGATCAGATGTTCTCTTTTGAGTAATGTAGTAACCCCTTATACATATTTTTCTTTGTTAAACTGGTCACTACTCGCTGCAGATTCAGTTGTAGCAAGTAAAAGTGGCAATCTGCTAGTTGTTTACTGTGCAGCGAGCAATCGATTCTGAAACAGTTCTTCCAGAAACTGAAAAGGAAAGATGGAATAGGTTCTGGGCTGGCTTATGTAACCACATGTATAGTTTGCATTTTGTATTTGGTGTCGATCTTACAGTGTTTGTATTGATCTTTGGTAAGCATCATTACGGAATTCATGTGAACATTTTAACTATGTATTGGCCGACATTCATGTGAACCTTTTAACTATCTATCAGCGCCGTGGATATTTAGGGCAAACTTTAAATTGTATGTCGGTTGCATTAGTTGACATCATTTACGTGCTTTTATGTGAGTTGTGATATTGTTAACACTGAAACCATGTATATTTCGCAAAAAGAAAAAAAAACGCTCCAACCATATATGTATTGGTGGACATTCGCGTGAACCTTATAATTATCTATGCGGTGTTTTCTTCAATCCAGTGTATGTATATTCGTGTGCACGACACTCGAACCAGACGTACATGGGGTTCATGTGTAATATAGTGTTTCTTTAAAAAAGGTACAAACCTTGGGGGTAAAACAATTGCTCAAGGGGCACCAATGCTGGGCTGTCAAAACATGATCCATTAGAAAAACTAGGGGCACGATTGACTTTTCTCGGCGAATTTTCTCATTCTTGATACAAGAGCGTTTAGATCACTAAAGTAGTGATCTAAACGCTCTTATGTATATTAGTTTACGGAGGGAGTATCAAACAAACAAATAATCCGCCAATCACAGACTGGAACTTGTGTGTTGCAACTTCAGAAACTAATTCTGAGATCTTTCTAATTCATATCCAAACCTCATCTGCAAGTCATGACTTGCATAATTAATTCAGACAGAGAGAGGGAAATGGTCAGTTTGACATGTTATAAGCTCTCATCGAGTACAATTACCAGGTCAGGGTCAGTGATCACAGCAACACACCAAAAAAAGTGAGCGTGCACTAACCTCGGTCCAGTAACACAAGCATTATCAGTAGACCGTCGGGAATTCGCCGTGCTAAGGCCCGCATAGGCCCAGCATCAGAATAGCAATCGCCGCCGATGAAGAGTAGGCGTAGATCAAAAGGATACAATTTGAAGAGACACGAACGATGATGCTAGACGCACCACCGGAATGGGGGCTAGGTAGGAAGAACCTTATTCCATGCTTGCACTCATTGTCTATTAATTTTAATGCATGTTCATGACTGTTGTCGCTTTCTCAGTTGGTCGCTTCCCAGTCTTTTGCTAGCCTTCACATGTACTAAGCGGGAATACTGCTTGTGCATCCAAACTCCATAAACCCCAAAGTTATTCCATATGAGTCCACCATACCTTCCTATATACGGTATCTACCTGCCGTTCCAAGTAAATTTGCATGTGCCAAACTCCAAACCTTCAAATGAAATTCTGTTTTGTATGCTCGAACAGCTCATGTATCAACTAGGGATGTCTGTATCTTTCATGCTAGGCGGGTTATTCTCAAGAGGAGTGGATTCTGCTCCTCATTTACGAGAAAATGGCTGGTCACCGGGATGCCCAGTCCCATGCTCAAATCAAATCAAAATAATTAAACAAAACTCTCCCAGGATTGTTGTTAGTTGGAGGCATCCGTTGTTTCGGGCAAGCCATGGATTGATGCTTGTTGGTGGACGGGGAGTATAAAACTTTACCATTCTGTTTGGGAACCGCCTATAATGTGTGTAGCATGGAAGATATCAAGATCTCATAGTTATTATGTTGACAGTGAAAGTATACCGCTCAAAATGCTATTATCTCTGTTTTAAAAATCGAGCTCTGGCACCTCTGCAAATCCCTGCTTCCCTCTGCGAAGGGCCTATCTATTTACTTTTATGTTGAGTCATCACCCTCTTATTAAAAAGCACCCGCGGGAGGGCACCGCTGTCATTTGCATGCATTACTATTGATTTATATTGGGTATGACTATGACTGGATCTCTTTTACCATGAATTACAATGTTTAGTCAGTCCTTGATCTTTAAAGGTGTTCTGCATTTATGTTTTGCGGTCTCAGAAAGGGATAGCGAGATACCATCTTGTTATATCATATTATGATTGTTTTGAGAAAGTGTTGTCATCTGAGTTTTATTATTATTGTTCGCTACCTGATTATGCCATTGATATGAGTAAACATGAGACCTAAGTGTTATTGTGAATGTGGTTAGTCATAATCTTTGCTGAAAACTTGAATGCTAGCTTTACATATTTACAACAACAAGAGCAAACATAGTTTGTAAAAGTTTTTCTTTATCACTTTCAGTTTATCAACTGAATTGCTTGAAGACAAGTAAAGGTTTAAGCTTGGGGGAGTTGATACGTCTCCATCGTATCTACTTTTTCAAACACTTTTGCCCTTGTTTTGGACTCTAACTTGCATGATTTAAATGGAACTAACCCGGACTGATGCTATTTTTAGCAGAACTGCCATGGTGTTATTTTTGTGCAGAAATAAAAGTTCTCGGAATGACCTACAAATCCACGGAGACACTTTTCAGAATTAATAAAAAATACTGGTGAAAGAATTAATGTCAGGGGGCCTACACCCTGGTCACGAGGGTGGGGGTGCGCCCCCTACCCTAGGGCGCGCCCCCCTGCCTCGTGGGCCCCCTGGACGTCCACCGACCTCAACTCCAACTCCACATATTTGCTTTCACGGAGAAAAAAATAAGTGAAGAAGGGTTCATCGCATTTTACGATACGGAGCCGCCGCCAAACCCTAACACCTCTCGGGAGGGTTGATCTGGAGTCCGTTCGGGGCTCCGGGGAGGGGAATCCGTCGCCGTCGTCATCATCAACCATCCTCCATCACCAATTTCATGATGTTCACCATCGTGCATGAGTAACTCCATCATAGGCTTGCTGGACGGTGATGGGTTGGATGAGATTTACCATGTAATTAAGTTAGTTTTGTTAGGGTTTGATCCCTAGTATACACTATGTTCTGAGATTGATGTTGCTATGACTTTGTTATGCTTAATACTTGTCACTAGGGCCCGAGTGCCATGATTTCAGATCTGAACCTATTATGTTTCCATGAATATATGTGAGTTCTTGATCCTATCTTGCAAGTCTACAGTCACCTATTATGTGTTATGATCCGTTAACCCCGAAGTGACAATAATCGGGATACTTACCGGTGATGACCGTAGTTTGAGGAGTTCATGTATTCACTAAGTGTTAATGCTTTGGTCCGGTTCTCTATTAGAAGGAAGCCTTAATATCCCTTAGTTTCCATTAGGACCCCGCTGCCACGGGAGGGTAGGACAAAAGATGTCATACAAGTTCTTTTCTATAAGCACGTATACCTATATTCGGAATACATGCCTACATTACATTGATGAACTGGAGCTAGTTCTGTGTCACCCTATGTTATAACTATTACATGACGAATCGCATCCGACATAATTATCCATCACTGATCCAATGCCTACGAGCTTTTCACATATTCTGCTTTGCTTAGTTACTTTGTTGTTGCCACTGTTACCATTACTACAAAACTGCTACTGTTACTTTTGCTACTATTACCGTTACTTCCATACTAGTTTGCTACTAAATACCTTGCTGCAGATACTAAGTTATCCAGGTGTGGTTGAATTAACAACTCAATTGCTAATACTTGAGAATATTCTTTGGCTCCCCTTGTGTCGAATCAATAAATTTGGGTTGAATACTCTACCCTCGAAAACTGTTGTGATCCCGAATACTTGTGGG